ACCGCCATCCCATGGCTCAGGGACTGGTGGGGGTGGTAGCCGAACGGCTAGCTGATGTCAGCCCCCTCACCATCCGTAAAAAAGGCGATGACTGCTTGTCTACCAGACTGACTGTCCTACGACACGTTCGCGATGCGATGGCTGAAAGCCAAGACCGGCCTAAAGAATATGCAGATGAAAAAGGAAGAGGCAAAGTGGAAAGCTTCAAGGTCAGGGACCTGGTTTTATTGAATTCTGAAAACCTACCTGCACATGCAGCTTCTGCTGTCTGTTGGACGAAGCTTCGTCCACGGTTCATCGTATTGTTTAAGGTTGTGGCCAAGCGGGGCCTAGCGTATACGCTGACCTCCCAAAACGGGCGCGTGGGCTTGGTCAAGCCGTACCGGGATCCTGCGCAATTGAACACGGAAGCGTTGGCGCCGGAGCGGATCCCATGGACCCTCGGCCACCCAGAAGTTGAACCAGCAACCGGTTCTGATCACGGAGTGCAACAACCTTCAATTCTAATGGCGCCAAGCGCTTCACCGTCGCATGCAGCGACGAATTCGCCTGCTCCATGGCTAGGAGTCGCTCCGACAGAGCGCAGTAGTCCTCAAGGCGAGGCAGCCAGCGCACGACGTGCTTTCAATCGTCAAGAGCGACCGCACAGCGATATGCTCCTTCAGCATGACGCTCTGCGGAGCTCCGATTACGAAGGACCTCGTCCTCAAGGGCTCAGAGACCATCACGAGTCGCCGGACGGCGGTCGACCCGGTTATCACCGCCCGCCACCGACTCTTCTCGGTGAGAACGTTGACGTCCACTATCACGTGGAACGTCTTGTTGGAAGACGTCTTCACCAGGATCAAACCCAATATCTGGTGAAGTGGCGGGATATCCCGACTTTTAAAACTCGTGGGAGTTTGAGGCGCCACTTCGGTTAGATTGTCCAGTCGCCGTGGACGCTTTTGATCGGAAAGATCAGGACGTCCCGCGTCATCTGACGCCCCGCGCTTCCCGGCAATAGCCAGGAAGTAGAAAAGTCATGATCTGAGCTCAAGCAGTGACCCTGAGCTCTTGTGGTCGAAGACACAGAGCTCGCGGGAGCATTAGGGGGTTAACCCATACGTCGCAGGGCAACAATCCGAAGGAAGTCAACGACGTGCCTTGAGTTTGGCAAACTCAAATCGGAGGTGGCGCTTCACACGCACGTCCACTTCCTTGTGACTTAACTGTAGGTATACAGTGAGGAAAGTTTCCGATGCCGTTGCACCCATCGCTCAAAGAGCGCTTCGTCATCTGTAGCACTTTTGCCAGGGGCGAGCACTACAGGTATCGTCCGCATTGCGGGTAAACGAGAAACCACCTCGTTGAGCACGTGCGATAAACGTCTAAAATAATTTCATGTGGGACCAAGAAACGATCTCGAAGAGCTTCCCGTGTGGCAAGTTCGTCTTCCGTTCTGGCCTGGGGTCCGATGATGTGGACGCGTAACGATCGAGTTACCGCGTCCTTCTCCGCTTCCACAGCGGGATCCGCTGGGC